ATTTCCTTCTTGGACTTCAACCTGAATTAGAGGAGAAATATAGAATATCTATTCTACGAAATCAATGCCTAACAATGTAGTATTATCAATTGCATGAGGCAAAACTATAAGTATAGTGGTAATAGTTCTACCGTTTAATGAAACCTCAACTTGACCTACTAGAACATCCCGAATCTCACTATTACCATCTGCTAATTTGACAGAAACTCGTTCCTTAGTAAAGGTTTGGCCTTTGGACATCTGACCAGCAACACTCTGCTTCGCTACAGTGTCAATAACTCCATGTGAACCTAAAATGTCTGTATATAGAACAGGTCGCGGACGCGGAATAACTTCGCTTTTGTCGTGCATGGAAAGTTCACAAAATTCTATTGCTGCACTTTCAGTTGCTTTACAATTAGGACAACTGGCACGTATGTATCCTGGAGTACCACAACCAAAACATGAAATTTGCGTTCTCAGCTAGGCTAGAGTTTAAATTTCGTGGCGGCGGCGGTTTACTTTCCTTCGGTTTTCGAGCCAGTTTCCGACACTCCTCTGTTCTATGTCCGAATATTTTGCAGTATGCACACCTAATGCGGTTAGTGTCTTTTTGTAATCGATAAATTGATTTTAGTATCATTAGGAGAACTATTAATTTGTTCATATATTCATCAAATACCATCTTACAAATAAATAAACAACGTAATAAAAGTTTTCTTCTAATTTTCTAACTAAGTGTGAACGAAATCAAATCGCTCTGTATAACTCCATTATTGCGCGAGAATGAAAGCAATTTGCTAGCGGATGTACTTAGTAGATCGTTTGTAACCAAAAGAGACACTGGAGTGAAATTACTTCTCGAATGTATTTGTTCACTGATGTCTCATTTGTGATTACCAAACCCTATGCCATCAAATTATAGTGCTATTATCATGCTAATTAAAAATGTACTTAAATGGAATTTTGTAACAAAAATATGCTTGTAAATCAATTTATAATCATTCTAATTAGTTAAATGGAAACTTTGTAAGTTTTACTATAATAATTTCTCACTTGTTTGCAAGTGTCTGTGGTCGAATTACAAATAAATAGTACCAAAATATATACAAATATAGCATTTGATGGGAAATTTTATATACATTTCAAAAATCAAGACGCTTAGAAATTGGAGAGACGCAAAATTATTAGAAAAACACTAGAGATCTACAGTAATTATTCATTGTTTGTTATTGTCGTTAACACTATATCAAGAACTGTAGGTATACCTTTCGCGATCGATTTTTATCTTTTGTAGTTGCGAGGCAAAGAATATACTTTACTTTATAATAAATTTCCATGAGAAAAGCCAGACTTTGTTGATCGGAGCATCTCCATTTATGTGGAAAATGTTAATTTAAAACATTATTATTAACATTTTTAAATGGAAACGAGCCTATTAAAATATAATAGAATAGAATTTATTATATTGTTAAATAGCCAATATGTTTATGGCCATGTCATTAAATACATCTTTTTAAAATAAAAGAAAACGCAATTAAAAAAAGTTCCAAATTAAATTTTCTGCAAGTAAGTATGCCAATAAAGTTGAGTATTGTTTGGCATAAAAACAAATTTTGATCAAATGGTTTTTTAATTGACACTTGAAATAATAAGTCGTTTCAAAGAAAGTGGCCAACCATTGGAAAGCTTTACTTCTAGTGAATATGATTGTAATTGTGGATATCTGACTGAAGAAAAAAAGTGTTAATATTCTTGTCAATTTCGATCAAAGTAAAATAATCTGGTAATGGAATTATTATAAACTTGGATGCATAAATTATTATTATTGGTTACAATATTGTGGTCTTTCCTGAATATAAGATTTAAAATAATGTTAATGTCAAGCCTCTTACTCTATAATGCTCCAATTTTTTAACAGTAAGTTGTGAGAAACACAGTCGAATGCCTTTGTATGGTAACGTAAAATGACGACATCGTCAGAAGTAGAATGGTTAAATCTAAAATAAAATTGGCTTGAACATAAAATAGGACCATTTTCCAAAAAATTTGTACAATCGAATTTTAAGTAATCGCTCTACTATTTTACCAAAAATTTGAATATGTGATCTCTGTATCACCTGTGTCTGATTATAGATATACTGCTTTGTTAAAACAGGTATTATGTATTTAGTAAAGTTAAATGTGGAAGTATACAAGAATGAATAGTATTTTTATTTATCTTAGAAGAGATCCTATAAACATCAGTATGGAGCGAATCTTTCAACGATTTAATTGCTTACAGTACTACTACCTCAGTTAAAGGTTCCATAAAGAATGAGCAAGCTGGAGAAGGGGCTTTATTCAATATTGTCTTAGTTGATATATTGTTGATTGAAAGTGAGTCTCTTATTGAACAAGATATATTTACAAAATACGTACTCATTAAAGCAATTTTCAGAGGTACTTTATTTCTTTCATGATTAATAATGTTACACTGTAAAAAAAATCACTCAAATTCACTCAGTTTTACTTAATAATGTATCAATTTCTGTCCGCACCCGATTCAGTGAAATTTTCACTCTATTATTATGAGTACAACTAAAATTTTATGAGCGAAACTATTGCAACAGAAGTGAGTGAATATTACTCAAATCCGAGTTTTTTCTAACTGTCAAGTGAGTGACGTTTGACTCTATTCTTAGTATGTATAATATGATTTAAATGTAACTATTATTGAGTAATTTTGTACTTTGAAAATTTCCAAGGCGAGCGGCGGCGCCCCAAAACCCTCCGCACCAACCGCCGCTGCCTCCATTTCATTAATATCTGGAGTGGTTTTGCACTATTTTATATCCTCTTTAAATTTTAATTTAAATATTATTGTATTAAGTCATAAACTACTAAGCTGCCATAGTGGTTTCTACACAGATCTGTTTTAGAGACAATATTTTAGGTCTCGATTAAAACAATTGGTTAACTGATCGGAATAATAGATTGCCATAACCTATATTGTACTTTACGTAAGTAAGTATAGGTAACAATTTAACTATCCGTTTATTTAACCAAATATTAATCGAGACTCAATATATTATTATTTAAAAATTATTGTAATCAAACCACTGCATTTTCACCAAAATAACCGTATTAACGGACCCTTGTCCAGTACTACACGCCATACACCATGACCTAATGGGGACGATGGGATTATACAAAGACAACGCACGACAACCATAGAATGGGGTGGGGTCACTCAACAATGAGGACATTTACTTCTATTTAGCTACAAGTGCACCAAATACGAGTTTATCTGCAGAATTTATTTGACGGGTACCTATATTTGGGTGAAAGTACTCACTTGTAGTTACATAAATACACAAATGAGTAAAGTTATCAAAATGTTTCAATACTGAGTAAAAATGTACTCAGTCAATCCTACTCAATGGATTCACTTCGAAACTTTATTGCTTTCACTCAGACCAATCTTTTTACAGTGTACAACTTGCTTTTAATCTATTATTGAATCTATTTATATGCTTTTTCTTTTTGTTGTGTTAATAGTATATTGATTCTTTATAATTATCTTTGGAGTATCATATATTGTTTAAATATTCATTAAACCATGACAGGAAATTATTTCCAAGACATTTTAATGTTTTAACTGAAAATGTTTTTTTATCAAATCTAAGTAAGTTATATATAAAAGATTTGCAACTAAATCAATGCCCATGTACCAAAAAGATTCCATTTTACCAACATATTTAAACTTTTCGTCGTGAAGATTATTCTTCTAAATACCAGCTGAGATAAATTGCATGCAGTATTTAATTTAAAATACTAACTGACGAACTGTAAAGCAAAACTCCACCAGCTTTATAGTCACTAAAATCAAAATTGAAATTATATTAACTACAAAAGAGGATGGATACTTTGAAATTCTTGTATTATCAGAAATGGTGGAATACGAAACGAATGAATATTACGGATAAAAGAACAATTAACTCTGACGAGTTATTCTAACATCAACACTGAAATTACCTACAAGCACTATTCGCAAACAACAAATCTTTTACTCCTTATTAAATTACAAGATCTGTAAAACTGTTACAATGATTATCTTACTATGAGCCAGTTCAACTGCACAAAATTCAGAAGTTAATTCAGTTATGAAATTGTTAACCAGTATAATTTTCTAAATTTAATACTACTGTTTTAGTAAATGGTTGCGTATATCCTCGTATCCGTGACTGATAACTTGAAACTATGTGGCCCGTTATGCAGATATTACGTTTTTAATGTCTGAATGCATGGTGAAAACCTCATGAAACAGTCAAGTTTAATTTCGGAGATATTTGGCATTTTCAAAGGTCCTACAAGTGCCATTTCTTTAGAAAAACGTAAAATAACACGTTTTCTATTTTTCAAAGTAGACCTTAAGTTCAAGGAGAAATTAAAAAATGCAGTAATATACAGGGTATTCTGTTTGAGAAAATGCCCGGAAGAAAAGAGGTACCCTGCATAATAGAAAATAAAATTTAAAAAACGAAGAAATTGATTTGGTACAACTTTTACTTGAAACATTTTCTGTATTATTGATATTCTCAGGACTATGGAAGGTTCCATATTACGTGGGACACCCTGTGTGAGGTTTTACTATCGAGAAAAACACTTTTTTCAGTAACTTCTCACTACTTAGCATTTTAATTTACCTGCCAAAACCGTTGTTGCAAAACAAACTACTTATTAGATTATCTGAAAAGTAAAAACTTTTTCTCAAAATGTATGAAAAAAATTTCTTTCTGGAGACAATTTTTATTTAAAATATTTGAAAAAAATCGTTTGAATCGACAATTGAAAGAAAAAAATCAGTGTAGTAGATCAGTAAATATTCCCATGCCTTAGTAATTCTTAGTCATGACTATGTTTCTAGAAATCAATAAGTGAGCACTTTGCCCGATTCATTAAAAGCATTTGTTCTTATAACAAAGCCGTTCATATTTAAAATAAAGCCTTCCAGCAGTGACGTTAATTAAATTTTGCAGGTGTTATAATGCTCTTTGCCTACTCCATGATGGGCAGGACGTTGTGCGCCGTAGTGCCCCCTTTCGACAACAATGAGTCCTCCTGCACGCAACAGGTTAGTAATTTATCACTTGAAAGGACTCTTTCATTGTGTGGTGTATTTAAAATTTCTTTGTGTTTATTACTAGGATTTGTCTAATACATATTCATAACTGTAGATTATCTAAGTCATCCAAAATTTTAGACTCGTTTGCCCTTTAGTATATGAAAATATCGAGTTCAAACGTACGCGTTAAACTTTCACGTTTTAAAATCTGAACAAAGGCGCATGTCTATGGCCAGTTGTTCATATAAATAATAATATTGCGCTCGTGTGATATGGCGCTCGTGTGATATTGCGCTCGTATGATATTACTTCGTGTAGGCAACTGTAATGAATTTAATTCATAAATGTAGAAACACGCGAGATATTATCTGTGCCATGGTATAATATTATAACTTTTTTGAAACCTTGTAATAAAAGATAACGCAAATTTCTTTAAAAATTGAGACAAAGTAACTCCCATAATCTAAAAACTAGAATCGACGGACATACGTTTGATGAGCCTCAGCGTTTCTCTGACAAGAGAAAACACTAGGACGAGAGAAAGTATCCTCCACAGGAACGTTTGGTAGATACTTTTAGCTATTGGGCTCTGTTATGAACTTTAATACCGCCGCGCGCCGCTTCAGCACATACCGGAATGCATCTTGTTGTTTGAGGTTGTACGTGATAATTATTTAAAGGTAAGTAATAAATACATAGTTCTTTATTTATTTAACTCAAAGCAGTAGTACAGTAACAGAAATAAAGACATCTTGTAAGAACATAAAAATAAACGTATCAAATTTTAATTGAAGACTTTTCTAAACTGAATCTTACCGTACATATTTATTCGCACCAATGTCTCTACAAAAACATATGATGTTTGTATCTGGTCATTAGAGGGACGTTGAACCGACGACTAACGAACTTTTTGAAATGAGGAAAAGCTGAAATTTATATTATTATTCTTTAGCTAAGCTTTTTATCAAATTTGCGTAATCAAACCTTCATATATTTTTTTGAAGATTACCTGTTTCCAATTTTCGCCAACGTGTAGGTATATCAAATGCATCAGTTTCGTTCTCTACTTGTGTTAACTTCCTTAAAACTCTAATGCAAGCGTTAAAAAATTCGGGATGCTCTACAGTGGTACCAAAGTTTTTCCTTCTCCTAACTTTTTCTACGTCGATTATAAAAACTGCAGACATGCTTGAGATGCAGAAGCTCGTTTCCTGAAATAATAAACGTATATATTTAAAGTTTTGGAATATTTAATAATTTATCATCTCAATTTATTTTCACTTTTCTACTATGAAAGAGGAGTGGCAAGATATTGTTAAAGCACTTAAATCACGCTAGAACTTTCCGAACTGGGGGGGGAGTATTTGATTGAAGTCACATTCGAGTTAATAAACTTCCATACGGTCGTATACTGCAACTATAAATAGTTTTACAGCATTATTATGAAAGCAATAGTGAAATCCAAATTTGAATTTATGTTTCTAAATGAGAGAAAAGTGGAAGAATTTCAGATGGTGAGATTCTGGGATTTCCAGCGTTTTACCAGCGATCTAAGACGAATTGAATGGAATTGAAAACTAATAGTAAGGAAAATCTTAACTTTGTATGGGAGGCGCGCCTTTTCTAATAAACATTTATTAAAACCATTTTCTCAATGAAATCTTACTCATGAATGAAAAACTACAGATAAATTATTCTTTCTATTACATTCAATGAAAACCAGTTAGAAATATGTATCATCAAACATATTTGTTACGAAAAATAAAGAGACAAACGAAATAAATAAAGAAGTCTAACTATTTATGAGAAAAATACAAAAATCGATAAAATTTTAAGATTTTTTAGCAGTGAAACTATTCAAGTTACATAGGCACTTTCAAAGAACAAAGACTTCCCTATAATTATTATTATCGCCTATAACGTGAAATGCAGTTGAAATATAGATAATTTAAAAAATAGTCGTAGGTTTAGGTAATTGCTAAATAATAGGAAAATTTTAAAATCAAATAGTGAGCTGAAATTAGGTGAAATTTTTTTCCAATGTTTAGAACAATATTTCGTCAATGGAGCAAAAATAATGTACGTTTCAAACAAAGCACCCTAATATAAATATATATCCCAAAATTATTAGCAGGTATTTTCATAATAAGGAAAATACAAAAATCCAATGTAAGCATCAAAAAGTAACCTCTAAATTTAAGTGGTCTTCGTAGACTTTTATTTATAAAGACGCAAGCTGGTATTCTTTTCCTTAATGAAAATTTGTTGCGAGTCAAAGCGTTTACCAGAAATATTAACTGTTTACTTTTTATAAGAGTTTGGAGCTGAGGGCAGATTAGGTGCTTTTAACTCAAATATTCTTCCGCTGTTTCCTTTTAAAATATAATTTTTATGACTTTTTAATGGCCATATTGGAAGGTATACCTAAAACACATTACGTTAAACCGCGACTAAATGTTTTTTTCTTATAAAAATATTATATAATTTTCAAAATGTAGGTAACTATGTTATAATCTATTTTTTAATTTGAAATGTTTTGTACATGATGAGTTTATATGTTAGAAAAGAAAGTAGTGGACATTCTATGCCAATAATTTTTTGAACTTTTGGCATATTATGTTGTATTTAAAATTGTATTCTTAACAAAAAATTCTAATAAACCATTTTTGTAAAAACGAGTAATTTTCGGTTTTTGCTATAACCTCACTGATATAAAAATATCAGACCACTGTATCCACTCGTTCTTCAGCAAAATATAAGAGATCTTTTTCCTTAGAAATCCAAATGGTAAACAACACTAATCGAGTTTACAGAATCGAAATTGTGAAGCTCTTAGTGATACTGGTCCCTCGCATGTCAACACTTGTTAACATACTACAAGCAAATTAAGTGGGTTCTTCTTTCTACTCAAATTAGTCGCCAAGTTTAGTCTACATCTAACAACCTTAAAGATCTATAGAAAAATGAACTATCACCCGTATTACCAGGGGATTAACACGTTAAAGGAAGCGCGAGCACAGTTTCTTATTTTGGGAAAGTTAATTCTTCTTTTTCAAATTATATTAAATTTATATTAACTATCTGTGATATTTTTAAAAGGCAATCTGTATCTCCAATTTTGGTATAAGGAAATTTACCTACATTTAATTAATTACAAAATCATGCAATTCCAAAGTGATGCGAATTTTTTAACTAATTAATTATACACTTACTGCTTATAAGTTACTAATACATTTTATTAATCATTTTCTTAACCTAAAATGGTTATATCAAACACATCATAATAAAATTCAAATTAAATATCATTATCGCAACCCAAGTCATATGATATATAGATGTGTAAAGCTACTTAACCAGTTCCCTCGTAAACGAAATGCGGTATGCCCTAATGTATCGTTTTCAATGGAGCTGCCACAGATTCCGAGCATTAACAAATAAAGATTTAGTTAAACTTAACTTTCATCCAAAGTTACATTATTTAACCATCAAAGAACGTAAGTTGAGAAAAACATTTTTTTGTCCCATTAACTTTACCAAAATAGGTTAAGTTCCTACTAATTGGGATAAAAGCTAGTCCTTCAGTGGTCTATTATTAATGACCTTGATAGGTGAAATTTTGTTCAGAATCTCCGGAGAAAGTTTTATTTCGCAGAAAATGAAGAACCTGTGTTGTGCCGTTCCTTCACTCTCTAAGCACAACCGACACTCTCGATCAAGCCCAGCTTGTGTAAATGATATCTTAACCCGCAGTGCTTAACTAAATTGTGCAGGTGTTTAACTCCGGTAGGTTTTTAACTCAATTTTTCAGTGAGCCAATCTGGGCAATTCATATAAATAATGAAATGTTTCTTTACAACCCCGAGTCAAAAGGGGTTATTTTAGCAGTAGCCGAAGGTGTACCAATAGCTAATTTTGGTCCCATAAAGTTCGAAGCAGCATCTCTAACTAGACTAGATGTCTAACGTCTCGCTCTTCTGGAGACTTGATTTTTTAGAAGCCACTGTGTTATTATTGTTGTGTTTTTCCTAACTTTCGCAAAGCTCTCTAACAGTTCCATATAGTTATTCACTTACACACTACACTAGAAAGATCCACCAGCTTTCAGAGCTGCCTAACTTACCATAGAACATAACTTGATGGTATAGATTTCTGTCTAAAAAATAGTTGCACATTCTAATATACATAATCTTATCGACAGCCTGATCGGATTGCAATTATATGTATATTCCGGTTCCAACCACGCCAGAGCTTTCTGGCAGTTCCATATGGTTTTTCACTTACACACTAACATTGGAAAGATCCAAGAGCTTTCAGAACTGCTTGACTGACCATAAAACACAACTATTTGGCATAAGTTTCGGCCTAAAAGATAGTATATACGCTCATGTATATAAACTTACCGACAGCCTGGTCCTCAGATTGCTGTCTTTGTATCCTACTCATTTTGAGGAAAGGGGAATGTTGAAAGACAATTGATTCGTGTGGAGTCATCAACATAATACTAGGCTATGCTTCCCATATTCTCCCCACATCCTTTGGTATTAATGATCCACCTCAATCTCTATATTGCTTACCTTCTTTCTTTCTTCACTAAGAAGATGGCAAATCTTGAAGATTTTCAGAGCAACTGACAGTGTAGAGATTGTTTCAATTATCGCCATATACGCTTATATTTATAAACCCACGAGTTTGATTTTGGTAGACACAGCCAAAATAATTGTTTAGGATTTTCCATAAATGCGTTGATATGTTCACAGTGATATTTTTGCTTTATGGAGGAGTAAGTCATCCACAATAAAAAAACAAAGAAGAATGAAAATATTCCCACTCTTGGACACCGGTTTGCAGTTATGAAGTTGATACTTCTCTCCTAATGATATGTCATTATTTTTCACCACTGCTCGAATTTAGACACATACAGTAGACTAATATCTTCGGCTCTAGGAGGAGGGAGCCTGGCGGTATGTTATTGAAAACTCCTTCAATTGCAACGAATGCTGCCTCCGCAA